AACCGCTCTAAAATGGCCGAGGCATGTTGCTCCGGCCACAAATCCAATCAGCAATCTTAAGTCACTGCTCCATGCATTCAAAAACAAAAGTAAGACTAATCTATCGCTCAAGCCAGACGGATAAATGGAAAAAAAAAAAAAAAAAACCTGCCTACGTGAACTAGACTCCCCCGTGCTCCCCTTCTCGTGCGGACAGGCAGCTGCCAACTAATTAGGGAACAACGAACATTTTAGATGGATACCCTGGGCATCCAGATCCCACCATTCACTTCATTCTCGACTTCATCTCCTTCTTCGGCAACATCAACGTTCCTAGTTTCGCAAGGTGATCATCATAATTATGTTCAACTATTCCCAATTTATCAAATAAATGCTTCCCCGTAAACCAGATAAATTAGCAAATGTCAGCCCTTTCAGGCAACATTTGTGCAATGGCACGGCCCTGATCCTTTATACATTTTGCAAACACCTTAGGCAACGTAAACTCACCTATGTAGGACAAACAACTTGCCAAGCCAATGCAAACATTCAAAATTACGGTTAACTGAGCAAATAAACTTGCATGCACCCTTCCTTATATTGTGGCAATCTTAAATAATTGACTGCGTTAATTCTAGGTAAGGAAGATAATTAAAATGTTTCAGTAATTCCCCACGAACTCTATTTCAGCGCAAAAGCCAAACACCAGTGATGGTTGCAGACACACAACAAACACCAACCTTCATATCTAGCATTCTTTAACTTCTCAACTAGTCTGGTTCAAGCGTTAAACATAGCTTTTCAAAGTCTTCGGCACAATAATCTATTGTTACACTAATGAATGCATTTGCCCAATCTTGTTATGGTGATCAGGGTCTCTTTATTGTCATAATTTTATAAGCCAAAACATAGAGCCATGTACCAAACACCACATATTCAATGAACAGTGCAAGGGTAAAATACCTCATCCTTGGTATGGCTGCTGAACTTGTTGCATCAATTCCTCGGATTGGTGTTTTATTTTTTTTTAAAAAAAACATGGCTATTGACGGGATGCCTTGTGAAGCTCGATACATCACATATAATCTAACTGACAAGCATTAAGTGCAAATGGTTGCTCTAGGGCTTAATTCCAGAAGATGAAGACCAGTAAGAGATAATGGCATGCTGGAGACTGAAACCCTATGATATTTTCATACTTGACAAAATTTCTAGTTTGCATAGGCTATCATAAGTTTACAATAAAGGTACAAAATTAACTTCAAACGCAAAAGTTAGATACCCTATCAACTGAAAAATACCACGTGCCCAGATAACAAACCCAAATGCTTATACTACAAAAACTTCTCAAATTTCTTCAACCTCAATGCAAGAACAAATATCCGTGTTAAGAGACTAGAAATATAAAACATTTTAAACCACCTTATCTCACCAAATTGAATAATCCATCAAATGAACCTCACCACCAAAGCAAAAGAACAGACTATAGCAGCATCTCAGCAATCTGAATAGCATTAAGTGCAGCTCCTTTGCGTATTTGATCACCACAGACAAATATATCCAACCTGTTTGGCATCCAATGATTAATGTGACCCTTTGTCACAAAGAAAAGACAACAATTAAACAGTTCAAGGCCCCCACAAATTAGTCTTACCCCTTATTTCCATCTTGCGACAAATCACGACGAATCCTGCCAACTGCAACATTATCTTTGTTGGATACCTCCAAAGGTGTAGGAAAGTGATTAGATGTGCGGTCATCAATAACCACCACCCCAGGAGCGCTCTTCAAAATATCTTTTGCCGTATCCTGTGCATTCAAGAAATTTTACTAAATGAAATTTTATACAAGTCATAAATCTTCTTTATAAGTTCAACTATATCAAAAACAAAATAAAAACTTCCAAGTCTTGTGAGAAAGAAATACAACAGTAAAACATAAAAAAATAAAAAAGGTCAAATTAAATGTCAAATGTTAGAAATTCAAATCTTGGTAATTTTTAAGTAGAGTATTAGAGGCAGATGTAGCCAAGTGAATCAAGGAAGTGGATTGTGAATCCACCATGAACAGGTTCAATTCTCGTCATTCGCCCATAACTCTGAAGTGAATGCTTCATATGGGTTCTTTTTTTTCTTCTTATCATAGGGTTTACTTTACCTCTTACTCTTAATCTTAATTCTTACTCTTAAAATTGAATAAAATATAAAAATAAATATAAATAATAAACTAATAATAAACGATAAGCACCTATATTTTCCTTTTCAAATTCTAATATTTATTAATTATTAAGGAATTAATGAGATTTATTATTATTGAGAGTAGGCACAAATTCTTCTAATTTATGATCCACTATACAATCTGTTATATAAATAGGTAAATGCTCCTTCCCATTATAGATAACAATAATATAGCCGATCATTGTGGGCATAATGGTAGATGCATGGGACCACGTTACGATTAATTTTTTTTTTGCCTTTGTGTTAAGTTTATTTATTTTTCTTAATATATGATTTGGTACAAAAGGATTTTTTTTTTTTTAGTGAACATGTCATAGTTAATTTCTCCTCCTTTTTTTTTTAAGATGAAAAAACAAATTCCATTTTCTTTCCTATTTATTGCAGCGACGAAGAATCAAATTATCACTATATTTATTTCTTTTTCTACTTCTTCCAAGTGCAGGATAACTTCAAGGGGTTGTGGGTTTTTTCCTACCAATTGGGGCCCTCCCGTCACCACCCCCATGGAAATGGTTTACAAGGTTCATAACTACTCCTCTTAACTATAGGATGTTCACCTAGCCATCATTTAAATCCGGCTTTACCCAAATTTTTTTGGTTCACCCCATCATTCCTTACTTGTCCGACTATTGTTGAATAGTTTTTGGATATTAAACGAACCTCCCTAGAACGTAATTTTAATGTGGCCGATTTCCTCTCTTTTGCAATCAGTTTCGCTATAGCACTTACAACTCTAGCTAATTGTCCACCCCTTCCAAGTGTGATTTCTATGTTATGTATCGCCATGCCTAAGAGCATATCGGTTGAAGTAGATTCTTCTTTTTGATCAATCAAAACCTCTTCCCAAACTATACAAGCTTCTTCCAAAGCATACAGCTTTCTGGGTGTAGATGATGATATCTATACAGATGGATCTTATATATTGTATAATGAAGTCAAGTACTATATGAGTGGATATATAGGAATCAAAATCTGTGGAATCACTCATGTCTAGGTTTGTATTTGGTCAAATGAGCCACTTACCTCATCCAGGGGCTGCTGAAATTGAAGATTGATACTTTCAGCATGTGCACGCATGACAGGAACACGTATACATGTAGCAGTGACTTTAACATTCATGTCATTCTGAAAAATTGACAAAAAAAATATGGAAATATTTTATAAGGGATTCGACCATAATATATCTTATTAGATATAACAGTGTAGTAAAAGAAATAACCTTTAAAGCTTACCCAGATCTTTCTGGTTTCTTTAACTAATTTCATTTCCTCTTCATTATAACCATTTGATAGAATAGGTGCATTGTGTGAAAACAAGTTAAACGCATACTGCAAATAAAACATAGCAAGAGGTTAGGTTTGAACTTTTCATAGCACATAAAGGAAATTTTATTATAAAGTTACAGTTATTGCATAACGAACAGACAAACCTGTTGCTTAAATATGTTGCAAGTTGGTGGTTTTCCTTCCAAGACCTTACCGAAATAAAACACAAGGAATCATCTTTGTGAAGATTAGCAATAAAAACAAACTAATTGATCGAAGATAATAAGATTATATGGAAGACAGAAACCTCACGAGTCTGCAACTCAAGCTCTTCCATTGCCGCAGCCCCAGCACCACTGGCTGCCTGATATGTACTAACAACCATTCGTTGCACCTGCCACATCCATTGATTAGCTAGCATTCACACACACACAAAAAAAAAAAAAAATCCAGCACTAAGAACCTCACAAGGCTTTTTTCTTTCTGTTTTTTCCCCCCTTCTAAATTTCAGCATGTATATAAAACACTAAAATTACATCTTGAAATATAGTCTTAAATCTCCCTTAACTTTTTTATCTTTTCTTATTATTTTTTATTTCTAGAACTGATTCACCCTGAGCTAAAGATAATTATTTGTAATTGACAATCAGGGAAACAGAAATTCTACGAAGAGATAACCACATTACACAGTACAAATTACAAAGTCTTACATGATAATTTATGTTTGTCAAATATTAGTCGATAAGGGACTCTCTCTCTCTCTCTATATATATATATAAAACATTTTCAAGCATTGATCATAAGATGTCCCCAATACAAAACTTACAACCAAACACTATATTAATGTTGAAACTACATTACCTTGGCATGCCTATGCAAAGGAGTAGCCGCCATCAAACAAATAATAGTTGAACAATTCGGATTGGCGATCAAAGCGCCCTTTCCCATCCCGACTTTAATCCCTTCCATAGCCTCTGGATTAACTTCGGGAATCACCAAAGGAATCCCTTCTTCCATTCTAAAAGCCGAGCTATTATCCACCACAATGGCTCCCTTGTCCACAGCCACCGGCCCAAAATGCTTACTGATGGACCCACCAGCACTAAACAGCGCAATATCGACCCCGTCAAAGCTATCTTCTGTCAGCTCTTCAATCGTGTAGTTTCTGTCTTGAAACGTGAACTGCTTGCCAGCAGAGCGCTTAGAGGCCAGCATTTTGATGGAACGGTAAGGGAAGTCACGGTCAGAGAGGACAGAGAGGAATTCTTGGCCAACTGCACCAGTGACGCCAACCACAGCGAGGGAGGGGGCGTTTTCTTGAAGGGACATGCGGATTCTTGAAGGAGGTGTGAATTTTTTGGGTTGAAGGGAGAGTTTGGTGAATAGGTGGGTTTGGCTGCTGGGATGAGCGAGAGTTGCCATGTTTTGGATACAGAGGTTTGAGAGAAAAACAGTGAAGTGAGAGGCGGCTGACAGAAGGAGATGAGAAGAAGGGTTGGGGAACCTGTGGGTTGTTTAGAGAAATGGGTTTTGACTTACGACAGGATGGTGGTGAGTTTTATTAGTGTTTGGTCTCCATTTGGCTTTTGCCTCCTTTATTTTATTTCCATATATTTTCATTTTTTTTATCCCCCCCCCTCACTTCATAACTTGAGTAAATCAGATTTGATGATGGAGGAACATTTGTTTGTCGGGAAAGAAATTTCTTTTGGAAATTGTGTTTCATGGAAAATGATTTATGAGAATTGTATTTGGTATTGAAAAGGTTTTTGCAGTGGCAATTTAAAAAAATAAATTAAAAAAAACCTTTTAATTATTTTTAAAAAATAATACATGCTTAGTTAAAATGGATATGAGATATATTTTTACATATAAAATAAATAGCAGAACAATCTTTTCTTGCATAATATTGTGGTAAGCCAATCCACTCCTACATGAAATAAGAAAGCTAAATATTGCAAGGATTTCTTGAGGTTATATTTTGGAAAACAGCTGGGAAACACTGTCAATAGTGGTTAGTGCAATGCTGAAAGCAATATATACTAGTGAAGTCACAACCATTATTGATGGTTGTTTAAGTTTTATCTTATGTTTAAATCAATTTAATTGTAACTTGCAGGGATCGCAGCATGTGACTGCTCAACAGTGACCAGCATGCTTTAAATTGAAATTAGCTAACCATCCAATAGTGAATATCCATCCAGATACAGCAGCCGTATAAGCTGCCTCTGCAGTAGCAGCTACTTCAATACATGATGAGGATCAACCCTCCACCGGTGGCACTGTGACTTCTTGAGGAGCTACAAGCATTGCTCGACCACCATACTCTTCTGGCAAGACTTCACCAATTTCCTTTACAAAAAAATCTCTTTCTTCTTCACTGGCTACTATCACAACCTGCATTCATCACCACAAAGCAAGCCACCCAGCTAATTTAATATAGAAGATCAGCTTAAACAATGTATCATCCTTGGCTAACTTCAAAAATAACTCTGTTTCTTTTTGTTCTTTTTTGGTAGTCAAAGCGAATACAAGCTACAAATGTACCGAGGAGGTACCACCCATTCACGGGAAAGAAAAAAGAAGAACCAGCTTGAAAAAACAATTGTGGTTCTAGAAAGCGAGTCATAATACCAACTGTAATTACAAACACGAAAAAGATACACATGAGTTTAACCAATAACATCACTGTTTTCCTTTTTCTATCACAGATATTAGGGAGCCTCTCTTGTAGAAACTTAGCATACAGTATTCGCAAAAACAATGCGGACAATATATTTGAAGGGGTTGGGTGAAAATATGTTGGTTTAGTTATGACTCGAGACGTAGAATCAAGAAAATGGCACAAGCACTCATTGATATATGTGTGTGTGTGTGTGTGTGTGTGTGTGTGTGTGTGTGTGTGTGTGAAAATGGCACAAGCACTCATTGATATATGTGTGTGTGTGTGTGTGTGTGTGTATAGATCCACTGCAAGTTGCTTTTGCAAATGATATCCACTTATACTTCCTAGGGTCTATGAGTCTATAGACTTTAAATGATGTAGAGTCTGAGCAATGTAATATACCTTTTCCAATGTGGCCTTCTCGAGGAAGCGAGAAACCATCCTCCAAACACTAACAAAGAACCATGGCATACTTAAAATGAAGCACTTCGCCAAACGCTCTGGATAGTAAGCCTACATGAAAAAAATTCTAAAAAAATTAGATATTCATAGTGTAATGAATTTTTCCCAGTCAGCAATCAACCATGTATACTCCACCAGATTGTACCTTATGGAACAGAAGTTTTTGAAGCGAACTTTATTCTGATATGACTATAATGTGTTCAACATGGAACCAAACACATATCCTAGCATATTCACATTATGCCAAAAATTTTATATGTATAATTTTAGAAAGAAGATCTCCCTATCAGGAAAAAAAGGAATACATAGTGATTAGGAGGAAAACGTGTTTTTAATTTTGTTAAGTTGCTTTATTTACTATTGTCAGAGAGTCATGGCAGCGAATCCAGGAAGCATTTCAGGTTTATTTATCCAGGTTATTCCGGTAATTACAAAGGTAATATTGTCTTGAGATCATCTCTCTGAGCAAATACTTGAGCTGTTTCTTTTTTGTTTCCTCCCACCACTCTTCATAAGTCAATCCAAGCCTTTCTTTTAAGTGTAGGTTGCATCACTTGGTATAAGATAAAGTTGATGTTTCCCTTCATGGAACAGAAGTCCTTTTGAGCATGCTTTCTTTGAGTTTGACTTGACACGTTTGAATCAGAACCCAGGTCATTCTAAAAGTTTATGACTAGTTTCACTTGAGATCGTTTTAGAAAAATATAACTATTAGGGAAAACAGGAGACAGCATGGGGAAAAGACTTCATTTTTTCATAAGAGAAGATTTACTAGCAGATAAACTTGCATCCTTCATCACCAGCTTCACTCAACTTAGAAGTCAACAAGAATATATTCAGAAAAATAACCATGACAACCATATGTAACAACAAAACAACCAAGTATATCAAGCTACTGACCAGCTGAACCAGCACAAACATGGTACAAGCAGACCAAACACGCAGTTTTAAAACTAAAAAAATGAGGATTCAGATTTTATTAGAATGTGCTCTCTGTATTGCACTCCAAATGTATGCATATATCCTTGATAGACATCATATGTAACATGTAGTAAGTTTGAGGTGCTGAAAAATGAACATAGTTTACCACCCACTTGAAGCATAAATATAACTTGGCATTCATCAAATGCAAGACTAAGATGGATAAGAAGAGTTTTATATCTTATACAGAACAGACATAAATGATCTGTAATGAGCATCAGCTTCCATGAAATCAGTTCTAAACTCCAGGTTTGATTCCCTCATCTCCTCAATTATATATACCTGAATTGAGGCTACCTTATCTAGGCAACACACAATTTTTTGTTTCTTTCAGCACCCGGTGAAAATGAGGCAAACACTTTATGGCGAAACCTGTGCTGTCTCCTTGTTATCGATGTTTACAAGTGTATTTTGGTATCGATGCACATTTAATTGACAACCATTTTCTGACAATAAGGGAATTGCAAATAGAGTCGTTAAATATACAATGGGAAGCTCTCAAATCTCAATTATCATCCAAAATTTTCATTTTCCTCAGTCTCCATCTCCTGTGTAATATTAAAAGTGTTGAGCTATCTTTTCAGTATGCAAACGCTGACTCTTAGGCTCCTTTCAATTGCCATTTGGCAGATGGAATATATTTTAGTGGCCAAAATTTCATATGAAATAGTTACCTGCAAAAGTTGAAATCCGGTGATCAATCCACGCGCATCAATGTTCTTATATGCAATATGCTGCAGATCAAGGATGGCAATCAACTTTTCATTTCCCATTTCTCTTCCTTTGAATAAGCTGAAACAAGGTCAGAAAACACATTATACTTCTTTATGCCATTAATGTATTGCCATAGATCAGAGTAACAGACTTTGGGAAGCATGCCACACGAAGATATGGTATACAAAACAATTTTGGAAATGAGGACGTTATATAGAAGTAATAAATGCATTATATTTACTTGAAATGAAGAATCATGTTCCCGAGTAACCAGATCAGAGTTGAAATCAGGAATGAAGATTCAAAGTAATATATCAGCATGCAAGAGCACTGAACAACTAATTTCAATCTGCCTCTTTAGTTTCCCAGAACAACATGCAATTGCATCAGGAATGAAGATTCAATGTAATATATCAGCATGCAAGAACACTTAACAACTAATTTCAATCCGCCTCTTTAGTTTCCCAGAACAACATGCAATTGCTGGATTCTTTTTTTTTTCTCTGAGTCTTGGCTTGTAGCAATTCTCTAGTATATGCATTTCCATCATAAAATTTCAGATTCAAAATTTTCTCCTTGGCTCACGTTGTTCATTTAGTAATTTCTGATGCATATAATTGAAATTCTATTAGATAATTTATCTAATCATCTAGAAATATCATGATCTTCATCTGAATGGACATAGACTTGGCACTGCTTCAGGAAGCCAATACTGCATGTATTGATATAGAAACCATCACTTGAGAAGAAAACAAGGTTGTAAATCTATCTTCTTCTTTTTTTTTTTCAAAGTACATAAGAAAAGAACAATACTCGTGTCCTTTCATGTCAAACCTTTCTAGTCTAGCATTGAAAACAATAATCTTTTAGCCTACCCTCTTTTCCATCATTCCACATGTATTTGATACATAAGCTACTTGTCACAACTGTACACGTGACTTAAACAACAAAATTCTCTTTGCCAGTGTTTTTAAGAACAGTTGTCAAAAGCAATGATGGCTTTGATTTTATTACCATTGTCTCCAGTAACATTTCCATGCTATCAATACATAATACAATGAGCAAATAGCATAAAGTCACAGCAATAAGCCATCTTTCTCGAAATATATAAATCATCAAGTAATAGCCATCTAGTTTAAGAATATGCTTCTTTTGTAGATTTGGACACATCTAATATGAGAGAGAGAAACTTGGAATCCTTTTGTCTATTAGAATAAATAACACAAGGCAAGCCCAAAATAATCACTCCTGAATTGTTAAACCATGCCTCTAAATGACCCCGTACTGGAACATCTATTCATAATTTTTTTTTACCACGTTCTTTAGTTAAAGTAAATGATACCTTGCAATGGCCTTGTCTAGCAGATGAACAACAAACTCTGCACGAAAAGGCAAAACGAAAATGAGTCGAAGGCTCACTTGCCAGTTTATCAAGTCCAATTATTGTTTCCTTTAAATGTAAGCCTAGGCATAGTATGAAAATACAGAGAACAGCAGGTTGAAGCTGCTCCCAGAATGGATAACTAAGGCTGCATTTCAATTCACTTATCCTGTTATTGTTAATATAATACATTATACACCATAGTTCCGAGCAAAAATCACCTCTGACCAATCCATGTGTAAATAGCGCGCGTGTTCACTAAGAGAGGAAAAAGTATAAGCACAGGTGCCTTCCTGACACACACAAACAGGTTGGTGGGGTGGGGAATTTGTTTATACATTTAACTGTTTTTTTTTTTTGTGGGGAGCACAGGTGCCTTCCTGACACACACAAACAGGTTGGTGGGGTGGGGAATTGTTTATACATTTAACTGTTTTTTTTTTTTTTTTTTTGGGGATGCAAGGGAGGTCGTTCATGTACTAGCATTCTATGGAGCAGCTTCAGAGTGGCCTCCAATGAAAAGACAGGAGTCCTCTGTTCACTTTACCTGAGCAAAATAGCTGTGGGTACAGAATCAGTTGTTTCGAGAATTGAAGAAACATTATCAGGTCAAACACCAAGGGCATGAAAATACAAATATGAAGTTTATTCACTGAAGGATATTAGCAGATTAGGATAAAACTCTTGAAGACTTGAAGAACAACAGGTGACCAGAGGAAGGCCTGCGGGGACAAAGAAACTTGAAAGAGATATCTTTGATAAATAGTAATTTTCACCCATGAGACCAAGTCATGAAAGTGCCTGCTCCAATAAACTATAAAATAAAATTGTAACAAGTCAACTGATTCATAAGTTTAACTTGCACATATCTATGATACAAGACAAACAAGAAAGTTGCTTGCTGAAAATAAATGTTAAAAATGAACGTTTCTTTTGGGGTAACCAGAATACAAATAGGCCCACCATACCCTTAAATAATTTGAGCATCCTTTATAAATTTCCTCTTTAGTGTTTTGCGATTATCAGATTGGAGATTTTCTGGTCACTGGCCCAAGCTCCGTTTTATTTTATTTAAGGGTCCCATTTCTGAAGTTTTTCAGATTTAATAAGAACATCATCTTTTAGAAAAGGCCATCTTTAATCTCCTTTAGGCAGTACACACCTACAGCATATAGCGAGCACACTACCCGATGGAATCATCCAATATTGAAGTTGAAAAGAAACGTACACCAAGAAGTCTAGCTATCTTAAAGCCCCATGGTTCTTGGACAGCAAACAAGTGACACAGTCCAGAAAGGCCTGCTCATTCTCCCACCTTTATGACACGACTTTTTTCTAATGGAACTGTTCTTGATATGTACCATGGGCCGTAGCGACAATCTAGATTGAAAGTACCATGACACCAATCAAACCAGGATTTTAATCACTTAAAACTAAGCTTTAGTAGCATGCATGGAAAATTGTTACAAGATAATCATTAATCAACTGTAATAGAAACAGTAAAATTATAAGACTCAGGGTGATTACTCTTAAATTGGAGTTGATCCTTCGAGGGAAAGTGCTTGTTTGCTTTCACGAGCAACACTGGATATCCATCCCTTGACAGACCCTGCAAAAAGACTTTTCTTGGTCTCAATTCATCCTGAACTTCAGAATCTGGAATAGACCCGTTTGGAACAAATGCAGCCCTCCATTTCAGCCACTGTGCAAACATCTTTGCTGCCTTTTCTGGGTCCATTGATCTTGCAATTAAGAACCTCAACAGTGTTGGGTCCCCATACTTCTACAATTGCAAACCCCGAAAATCAAGAAGAACCGATGCATACAAGGACAGGCGCAAGTATATGTTATGTGTGTTAGAGTTGGTTAATTATGTGAAAGGTACCTACCTCGGTGGAAGAACCAAGCTTTTCAACTGATTTCCTCAGCTGGGTCAGTGCAATTATTTGTTGGGTTTTGTCCATTATAGGCAGGAAGGCTGATGATACCAGTAGAAGCCTGTCTGCTTCGGCTTCAAAAAAAGAGAAGGGTATGGAGTCGGCAGGTCTCAAAGTTTAAAGCATTAAAATTCGCCAGACACCGGCGAGGAAGGGGAAAAGAGCATGTGAAGAAGAGAGTTCCCGTGGAAAAAAGGAATCAGAGGCCACACTAAAAGAACAAAAGAGTTGGGAGGGGAAAGTGATTCGATGATTATAAACTCTGCACAGCCCTTTTGTCAAAATTCGAAGGATTAACGAACCTGGAACTTCGGAAGTCCCTGTACTGTTGAGTTTTTCTGAAGGAGTTCCTTATCAAAAATATATCTAAATCCCTGTACTTCAAGTCTAGCTACACCGTTAGTCCTTCCGTTAACTTTGGAACACCACTTGCAAACAAGCTCTCAGTTTTCAAGAAAGTCGAGGATGATATAAAATAAGGGATAAAAAGTTTAAAAACAAATCCAGAAAGATGAACACAAATTAAAAAAAAAAATCCAACATAAAAAAAACCATAAAAATAATAGAAATTTATCATGGTATAAAATTATCTAAAAATAAAAGGCTCTTTAATAAAAAAAATAAAATAAATACATGAATAAATAAATGCATGATTCCTTGATGACAAGCACGCAAAACAACAGCAATTAACATTAAAATGTCTTCTAAGAAGCCAAGATTTTATTTTTCACCAAAACACCTCATAGGAACACCACCTATTCTGCTTTGAAGTTTTATTTAAAATTTTATATATTTTTTTGGATTTATTAATCTATTATTTAAAATCTAAGATTATTATTTTATTTCTTATATATTATTAATCTTGATTTTCTTTTATTCCATTTATAAAAGGGACCGAGTCTTAAATGTAACAGAAGGTATATGGATGGTGTTACTGATTAATGAAGAAGCTAAAACATGTGGCCCTTGTTCGTGAAGCCCATGAACAAAAGCTGACATTTTCCTCTCACTTAAAGACAGCGGCAAGTCAAGTTAAAAACCGGTTGTGTATTGGCCACGTACGCAACGATGAGAGTGGAAAATAATCAAACAAGGAATCGTTGAGATTTTATGTGCTTTGATTGTTCTCTCCCTTCGTTTTCCTGTACACAATCCCTCATGCGTTGCTGTTTGGACTTTAGAAGAGACAATTGGTAATAAGATTTTTATATAATTGTTTTTGACTTACATGCATTTCAATAATAAAATATCATTTAAGATCGTGAATTATATTTTACTATATTTATTCATAAATTTTTATATGATTTAATTGATTTGATAAGTGTAGGTAATTTTTAATTAACTTAATTCAATATTAAAAAATAAATAAAAATAACTCAAATCAATTTAAATTTACTAGCCAAACTTATAAACTTATAATATGAGTTATAAATATTAGCATGTATTATAAATAAAAAAAAATAAAACTCATCTTCATAAAACATTAAAAAAATGTAAAAAAATATTTGAAAAATACATGAACACAATCACACTACTTCCACATCACAAGAAAGCTACCTCAGTGGAAGAACCAAGCTTCCCACCTGCTTTCCTCATTTAGGTCAAAGCAATTTCCTGGGTTCTCTCCATTTGGAACACAGGCTAATTCTAGCGGGGACCTGCTTTGGTTCGAAACAGAGATCGAGGGAGACAAGTGTTTATGCAGTCTCTCAGGAAGATTCAGAAGTCACACATGGAGAGAGAGAAAGGAGCATTAAAAGGGTGAATTCCAGTTGAACAAGGGTGAACAGAAGTTACAGAATCACAAAAATCCTGCCGCGGGAAACGTGACGTACAATGCTATTGCCCTTTTTATCTTTTTTATTTTTTAATCAGCTGTACAAAGCTCTGGTTCCTTTTGAATTTCAGTACTTCCATGATTAACCATCAGAGCAAGCAACGCCATCAGCAGCACAAAGGCAAACAAATCTTTCCCTTCAATCTCTTCCTGCAAGGCAAATTAATCAATATGATCAGCCTAGTCATGCTTGGAAGCGAGACAATCGTTAAGTTATTCTCTCTACATCTTCTCAGCATGTTACAGAAGGTTACAATCTGCCATTGTCCCAGGGAAAAAAACAGAAAGGAATGCACAAATACTGGATCAGAAGCATGGTTTAAAAATGATCATTTATCATCATTAAACCACGTAACTACATAATTATGGCGGCAAGATACATCACGATGGACAGGCATTTCAAGCTGTTGTGGTCTGACACAATCTTATTTTCCCTACAGCCTACAGGCTAACTAGAAGATAATACTAGCACTTCGTGCTTCTACAACTTCAACCCAGCATTTCAATGGAATTTCACAAAATGACAAATTTGCCAAACGATGGATACTGGGGAGGCTCCACAGTGCGCCTGACGCAGGCACCATAAATAAAAGGCTACAATAAATAATACCCGGACTTCAACTTGAATCTGGTGCTACGAAATAAATCTGCTCTAGCTCTACCCGTGGGAATTAAGATTCGAACTCCTCCTGAACTCTTTGGTGATATGAAACGAATTCTTTCTAGCTGTGGGAACCTCACAAATACAAACCTGCAATGAATTGAAATTAGATCAGAGAACCAACCTATGAAAGACCATACATGCAGTTCTTATGGAGATTTCAAATCATACCACAATAAGACATGGTGAACGCAAAATAGTGTCTCAGTGACAGCAAAAGCTGAGAAATCATCAAAAAATGCTATATTTGATAAGTCTACGTGCACACATAAAATGGCTCTCGTGGAAATGAAATTTTCTATCACTGGCGCATCCAGTTGGTTACAGCATAAGATAGATAGTCTAAACCAAAACGTAGAGTACCAATAAATAGATGCATAGTCCTCTAAAAGAAATGAATTTTTGAGCAACTAGACCACTCAGGTAATAATAATCCAAAACACTCGTGCTAATATCTTGTATTTCTATCCTGAGTAATTTAGTGAGGTGGTATTAAAAGGACAGAAAGAGAAGAGTGTGACATCTACCAATGCCAGCAAAACAAAGTAAAATTGCAGGCAAAACAGTTTGTGAAGTGAGATTGCTAGCTCCACAGAAAAGACCACATTATGATCCTAAGCACATGCGAAAACTATGAAGCTAGCCAAACTGTATATTTAGATCAGACTAAGTTAATGAAGTAAAATCCCCTGTCCAAGTAAGATTGGTATCAGCAACAACAGCATTTTGAAATTCCTATATACAGGAAATAAGGATAAACAAATTTATGTCATATCCAAGTAGGCAAGTTACCTATTCTGTGAAAACACTCATGAGATCACTTGTAGTTGGGGGCAATTGTGGTAATATTGGGATGAGAACTTTGGCGTTATCCATAAATTCAATGTTTGGCTCCTGCTTCACTGCATTACCGTTTGGCTCCTGCTTCACTGGATTACCGTTTGTCTCCATGTATAATTTTTCATGTTCCAAGTTGCTCGTTGTTGATTCAAATTCATCTACAGCTAACCGGCTTGGAATGCTAGTACATTTACCAACAAACCCAAGATTCCTAAGAGGTCCTTGATCAAGCACTTCACTTGACTTAGCACCATAGGAACCTTGGAAGTTGGAGATATAAGGACCAAGTCCTGGTAATTGTCTTGTAGCTCGAATTGTCATGGTTGAGCTTTGACCTTGCTGAGAGTTATTGTCAGGATTTACAGAGCATGATGACAAAGGAGATATGGAACCTGAGCCCGAGTACCCACTTACACCTGTGGTTTTGAGATCCCCATTTGATATTTGGCCAATATTCAATGAGGAATTATTTGATTGAGGTGATAGAAGACTGTAATCAATCATAGGACTTCGGCTATAGCTGCAATTCTGATTGACTGAAGCAGGGCTGTTTCCAGCTTGAAAAGTGGCTGCTGATTGGGAAGGGACCACAAGGCAAGATGGCTGTACATTAATTATACGGTTAGGCTCTGGTAATGATGGCAGCTGTAGTGATTGTTGCTGCTGTTTCTGCTGCTGCACCACGTCCATTAACATGTTACTATTTTTACTGCTCATCCCTCCAAGATTGCTAATAGGTCCTACTGTTCCAACGCTGTTAGAGGGCCAGGCTACAAATCCTGTAGCAACTTCCTCAGCAGAGACCACATTTTGTGGATAATGTTTAGACATGTTGGTTTGACATTTTACTAATGGCTGACCAAATGCCATACCATGTTCAGCAGGAATACATTTTGGACCCTGCACAGATGCTTGTAAAAGAGCTGGTTGGTCCACTGTTGTAACCATGCTGCCTCCAGGATTGCCAAAAAGCTCGGCATGCAGTGCTGCTAATGTTTGTGGAGGAATCTGGCCAGAGGCGGCCAAAACTTGGATGTCAAATCTTGCAAGCGGATTAAGTTTTACATTTGAGTCCAACAGTCCACAGAACGTATTAGAAACCCCACCTTGTTGAGCAACCCCACTTAATCTCTTCAAATATAGTCTAAACTTCTGAAAATTGTTATCGGAAGAAGCCAAACTTAAGAGTATTAACACAATGAACGACTTCAATACATCTGAATTGTTGAAATATAACTTGATACTGTTCTGTAGGAAGACATGTTCTTGTATTTAATATTTAAAAATCTAAAAATTCAATTGTTATTGCAGTTTGCATGAGAACAACCCAGAGGGACCAGCCCCAAAACAAGAGTCTTTTTTTTAAAAAAAAAAGGAAAGAACCACAAGGAATTATGGAAGATTGAGAAGCAGGGAAAAAAACAAACCTGCAAATGACTCGCAACATTTTCTCTAGTTAAACCAGGCACATTCATCAACTCAAGAATTCGCTTAGGTACAGCCTCTGAAATGGCAGCCAAAAAGTTGCATTGAGCAAAAGATACAATGGCCACTCAAATTTAGCTCTGAAATGACATTAAAGCATTTACATGTCTCATCGCCAAAGTATAATGTACATCTTTTTTTGCTACTAGAATGACTGTTACAGATAACTACACTCTTATTCAGCCAACTTGTGGCCTTCTAGCTTGAGAATGGGTAGTTAAAGCCCATCATTGTTGATTGGTTAGAGAATTATGCTTTTTCTTCACTGTTAGGTCTTTTAATGCTAGTTTCCCCTCCTAGAGGGTGTCTTAGCTTGTTATTAGGAGATTTGTGTGGGGCTATTTTCCCTCATTTGTGTCCTAGTTAGTCATGCTATTCTATCTTTCTTCTACCATACGCGTGCGTGCGTGCGCAGACACAACTAAATTATTCCTCAAATAGAAAAACGCAAACAATTAAAAGGGAAGGATCATTAAATATCTTACTGTCGATTCCAAGATGGTTTACAGCACTGACAAATTGCTGATGGAGCTCTACTGACCACACAACACGTGGTTTCTTTGATGCAGAGGGATCATCATTTTCAAATTCAGCATCATCTTCATCTTTAGCAATGGTCCTCTTCTTTTGGCCTTTCAAAACTCCTTCTGCTCCTTCACTAACAGAAGATGCATTTTCAGCATCATTCCCTCTTTTATGCCGATCAGTATCCTCAAAGCTCCCAGAATGTTCTTGTTCTTTGTTCCCATTCCACTTTTTCCTAATAACATGTTGCCATATATTCTTGAGCTCTTCTTCACGGATAGGTTTAATCAGATAATCACATGCTCCATGTTTGATTCCTCTCATTACAGCACTTGTTCTCCCATCAGCAGACATCACTGCAGGACAGGTTATTGTGTCAACAGTTTGATACACAACTTAGAGATCCTTACTGAGAAAAAACAGGAATATACACTCACTAATAACTGGGAGGTCCATTTCCAACCCAACAAGCTCAAGCAGTTTAAATCCATCCATATCAGGCATATGGACATCACTTAGTACCACATCAAAACAGCCTTTCCTTTCCCTCAAAAGTTTCAAAGCAGCTGTGGCCTGGGAGCATGTAGTAACTGCAATCAACAAATAAAATGAAAATATTTTTTATTGGTACAATAGGAAGTTGTCAAATTCGCATTTAGTTTCTAGATTTAAACTCTTCTTCATTCTACAAGTACGTCTAAAAACCTTTAAAATTGAAGTGTTTTCCGGATCTTATTCTTGTGTTTTCTTGAAAAACCATATGAGGATAGTTCTTTGATATAATACCAAGAACTGACTTTTGTACTATTATCACTACTCACGAAGCAATAATTTATCTCATGCTCTTCTGCTGGCGGAGGTCCAATTTTGTGTTGTGTTACTTGGATAAACAGTTTTCTCCGTGGAGCTCCCATTGAGATTTATTCGAACTTCAAGAGGATTATGGTCTTGTAATCCGGAGAGAAAAAAGGCAGCATCAGAGTGCAGTCTCACGGGCCCAATTTTGCATTCATGCAAAAAAAAAAAAAAAAGAGGATGGACGGGATGATTTCTACCGAGGAGGTCAGTGTCCTTGCCTAAGGTTCATCTGTCTCTATAACTCAATCATTGATCTTTTCACTTTCCTGAGTTAGGTGGCTATGATCTTGCAATTGTTGTGAGCTATTATCTTCATCTTCTGTTATCTCTGATCGGAGATGTGACATCAATGCTGGGTATTGTTTCAATCATGCGCGGGAAGCTTTCTATAATATGAGTTCAATAACATGGTGAAATCAATTTTGAAATCTTTGAGTGTATATACCAATCTTAGGCTTTGAGTGTATATACCAATCTTTTCAAATTTTAATCAATTAGGCTTAGATTTGGCAAAGAAGAACTACAAGTGCATTTTGAGCGATATAAGAAACCTTTTTTTATTGAGACTGACAAGTAAATCAACAATATGGATTGATTTGGGTAGCTTTCTTAACTTGTTCAATGAAAGTTCATCTGGTTACCTCTGTTTTCAACTTGCAAGGGACTAAACTTGTTCTAGTTTTTTTTTTTTTTTTTGAATTTCGATAGAATGGTTTCACCAGTTGCAGTAAACTTAAGGGCAAGGTAGCTTACCAATTTGCAACTATCATTCTATCTCTATCAGTAACTAACCAACTTCCATCCAAATTTAACTCAATCACACTCACCAGACATGAACATGCATCAAAAAGTAGCCCCAGAGAACCCCATTCATATCCTTCCTCGCCTATCTCCTTTCAAATTGAGCAATCAGAAAAGGAAACAGGGTAAACTAACCGTGATAAAGGCAGCGGTGAAGCATTTTCTCAAGCAATCTCAAGCAAGTGATGTCATCATCCACTACCAGAACCCGTAAACCAGCCGGGAACTGATCAGACACTATTACATCTGCACCTGCACCTTTACACAATCCATAAGTGCTTGCGCTCGTGCCCAAGCTCGACGCTACTCGCTGCAAAGCAGCCATTACAATTCCAAACAGAAACTGAGCCACTCACTAACCCACTACTAATCACACTCTATGCTGCCAAATTCTGAAGCTAATAAGCTTAAATTAAACATGTCCGATGGCAAAGTCGTGAAATTGGAGGAATTGGGTGTGGATTTAGAGGACGCTAGATCTTTTAACAGAAACCCTGCAATTTTGAAGGGGAAAAAAAAAGGAATCTCGGGAAGTTAGATGATATTTAGAGTTCAGATCGATAAATAGCGAGGGAAGTTGGGACAAATTTCCAGGATTTTTTGTTGATTCAACTCTACAAGGCGTTGAATTCCAGTGATGTGAAGCGAAGGGAAAGCGCAGGGAAAGAGAGAGAGAGAGAGAGAGAGAAGGTAGGAAAGACAGTTGGATAATGCGTGACCGTGAGGGGCAATAAAAGAGGTCCTTTTTTGTAATTATAAGAACTTATTCATTTATTTAATGCCAGGATGAATGATAATATTGATGGGACATGGGAGGGCTATTTCTGGGTTATTGCAGTGCAGGTGTTTTTAAAATTTTTATTTTT